GCTCCAAAGTTTGTAAGAAGTAGTCCACCATTTCACCTTCCCTCATTGGTGGATCGACTCTCGTTGCTTGTTCCCTCCAACGGAATCCGAATTTTTACTTACTAAATTTTCTGATTATCTTCTTCTTCTTCTGCACAATATTTCCAGTGTGTTTTATCACCATTGAGTGGTTCGCCGATCACCAGAATTTTTGGTATCAATACGCTGGTGAGTTAAATCGTTCTATCGTTGGAGGATATATTCCATAACCTCGAGTATTTGAGGGGAATAATTTCCTTAAGGACACACTGTGTATTCAGTGGGCTCGATTTATTCCTATATTATTTTTAGAATTTATTTTGACTAACTAGTTCTACTAATTTTCTGTTTCTATTTTTCAGAAAGTTTATTGTTTTATTGATTTTACAGCAATACAGATTGAATCACACTTACCACTCCACTACGACCCTCGTTGGTTTTCATTCATTTTCCTTGTTGGTGCATAATGATGTAAAACAATGGAAATGGCTGATAATTTTACGGGGACACTTATGTATTGACCAAGATAAAAACTAAGATTGGAGTTTTAATCTAATAATTCTAAACAGTGTTAATCTAAATAAAGAACTTCCTCTCTGAGCAGCCAAGATTCAACAATACTGTAATTTTTTCATTAAGTTTTTAATCAAGAACATTAAAAATATACTTGATATTTAACAATCATATTTGTTAGGTTTGATAGAAACGGTGGAAAAAAAGAAGATTTAACCTTAAATGTTGGGAAAGTCACGTCTGAATCCTAAAAATTACAAACACAAAAAACTGCACTAGAAACCAAAAAGATACTAAAATAGCAGAAATTACACCTCAAAAGGCTACACTAGACTCTAGAAATAGACAAAGAAATAACATAAACTACAAAAATTATACTTGTATAAATATGAGTTGCCGCTAACTGCTTAGTGCATATTTAAGGGGCTATTTTGAAGCTACCCTCAAACATAACGGATTATTTTTATCCTTTTCTCCAACTTCAGTATAGGTTGCAATTTTAAAATGAGAGTTGTACTTCTATATATTTCTAAAAGATAAAACTATATGTAAACAAAAAAAAAAAATGGAAGACAATCCTTCAGAGTTAGAGAATTTGTCTCAGGTGAAAAAATACCACTAAGCCTGGAGATGAAGCACGAGTTCCCTTTAATTTTTTTTATCCCACAACTCTTTAAATCTAATGGATAAAGTTTGTTAAACATTTGAAGGATATCAAATGTGTTAAATTTTGGTAAACCTAAAGGACCAAAACTGCTCAGAAGATATTTAAGGGACTACTTTGAATAACAACAACAACAACAACGACCCAGTATAATCCCACAAGTGGGGTCTGGGGAGGGTAATANTCGTCTTCATCCTACTCAACTTGAAACCTTTCGACTCAAGAGCATGTCTCCAAATCTCTAGCCTCTTGTTGACGCCACCTCTTATCTCGTCAATTAGAATAATGTCATCAGCAAATAGCATGCACCATGGAACCTCCCCTTGAATATGATGAGTCAGTGCATCCATTACCAGGGCAAATAGGAATGGGCTGAGC